TATTACATCACTGCATTTAGAAGCATTAAGCGTAAGAGATCTGGATGATGATCATTCCGCCAGATCTTCCAACCCACGTCGAAATGATGAGAAATCCTGGTGACTGAGGAGCATACATCCCAGCAGAACATCATCAGCATATTTACACCCTATAAACGTTGTTTGGATAGTGAGATGTTCAACATACAAGGAAATAGTAAAGGTGATATGATCTCTCCTTGTAGAACACCACAGTCGGCACGGAAGATTTCTTACCGTTCAACTTGGTGTAGTGAGTACTATCTGTAAACTAGCCACGTAACAGATTACACATCCGGGTGAACTCCATTTTTTGATAGCAGGTTTAGCAACATTGACCTATACAGGCTTCCAAATTCATTCGGATAATCCAGGAAGAGAAGGCGTACGGATTTCCATTTTTGATCTAACGCAGAGGTTATAGAATGAACAAGATATGCCGCTGCGTCCAATGTGGAGCGCTGGGGTCTTTACACAAACTGGTAGATATCGTCTTCAGGAGCGAGTGAAAAAATCAGTAGAATTAAGTCTTTCGCAAACTTTTAGGAGCACAGATGTACACGCAATTGGACGGCACTTTTGAGATCCAGTTTTTGGTACTGGAGTGCTACTGGCCATTCTCGAAATGTCCGGGATCACACCCGTAGTGAGGCATTTTTCTAAGAGATCTGTTAAAGGCAGTGTGAGAGAATCAGCACACCTTCAAAGCTAAGGGTGAGAGAGCATCCGGACCACAAGCTTTGGTTACCTTTAATACTTCTAGTTTCTTGTGAACTTTGTTTTGATCGAACGGCGCAGCTGGACTTGAGCTAATGAAGGAGGGCAAAGGAGGTAAGCTTACTTAGGCGGAACTAAATTCCGAATTCAGTCTATCTACATCCACTTCACTGCTCTGGCTGCAGATGCCCCTGTCACAGAACTGCCTCAAAAGCCTCCATAGATTTGGACAGTTATGGTTGCGTAGGACTGCTTCGATGTATAAGTGGTTTAGTCTCTATCTCGGATTTGATTGCTAGTGTTAGGCTTTTGACACGAGTAGCATTCCTGTACTTGTAAGTCCATTCTTTTCTCCTGTGAATCCGGTTTAGTTGTGGTGATGAATATCTATTCGCACTTAGATCGTTTCTACAGGGCTGCACATATCAAAGCAATATTTGATATAGTCCGTAAGACGGCCACATTGAAACGACAAGTTCTCATCGTTGAAGACCGAAAAATCAGTTAAAGAAATCATCGTCTGGATCCACATGATATTTTCCAAGGAACAATTTTGCCGTTTGATAATTTTGTAAGGACGTCTGGTCAGCGTTAACAAGTTAGGTTTGCTGTATATGACTGGACACAGTTTTAAAATACAATGATCTGAACTGCCCAAAGGAGCCCGTTTTTGTATGGAAAACAACTCGTTTATTTGTGTACACAGCGTCCAACTGTGCATGTTGTCTGGTCGAAACAGTCACTAGGTCTACCAAACCAAGTGTCTTCATTAATTCAATGCTAAATTTAAGGAGCACGCTGTGTGATTGGATTGCGACTCGCAACCTCTATTGAGCCGTCGGCTCACTTTGAGGTAAACCTCGGTCATTCCGATCTCGAGGACCGTATCCTGAGTGGATATATTTGGATGCTCTTCCCAACACTGGCACACCACGACCGCGGTTTCGGCTTGGTTTAGACTCGTCAGGTGGAGATAGCCTGAGCTGGGGCGGTACTCAGAGCTTAGTAGTTCATGACTGTCGCCCTAAACACTATGCTACTGAGATCCGCGAGCAACGCTTGGCACAGCGGAAAGTAATTCAAAGCTGCATTTAGGGAGCACCCTGCGCTGTGTGAATGTTGTATCCTTTCTGTTGAAGTCGCCAACAACAATACAGATAGAACAATCTGATTTAAGCAGTTGCATCGAAGAAATTTGATCCTCAAAAAACTTTAACTCCGATGCAGGTGTGTCAGGAGCGACATATACGTTCCCAGCGACGACTGATTCATAGCCACTTAGGAACTTCGGTTTGCATTCAACTAAATGACATCTTATAGAAATCGTTGGTTATGTGAATATTACGATTGCTGCGTTGCACTAACATTGATTCACCTAAGTTATAACGCCATCATCACCAAACTGGGGCTTTCTAGCGCGGTCAAACTTGATGGGAAAATAACCATCAAGTTGAAAAGCCGCATTTTCCACATCAATATGCAATCAACGTCCTTGTAACAGAATGATTCCTGTATTAACGTACTTGGTTAGCTGGTAATAACACTGAGATCACTGATTTTTACCACGAATTGAGCGGATCTTACTGGAAAGTATCAGTGGAATTTGCGCTTTGTAGACAGAACAACAACTGAGGCCAGATTGTCAGCCAGCACGAGGCTTTCGTTTTTTTTTAAAGCCTTCATTCCTAATTCGTTTGAAGGTGTTTCTGACTTTACGGCTGTATTCGTTGAATTACGGATTTAAGTCAGCAACGCGTAACATTTTCAAATGCTTGACGGAGTAGGACATCATTGACCTCGAGACTTGGCCTTAAAAAAACAAATAGCTTCAAATATACAAATAAAATGTAGCATCCGAAGTTGGTAGGGTAAAATAATCTTCCACGAGAACAGCAACGGCCGATGTTTACGGCCCCGCCAAGTTACTTTGACTTAAATACCATAATTCACATTGGAAATATCCCTCGTTGAGCTATTTCAACAGGGTCCAACACATCTAAACACCCAAATTTCCAAACATTGGCTTCCACTTCAACCGCCCACTAAATCGCTGTTACATTAATCATATGCCCTAATGTTTCTCCTATGCATATTGCTCATACCAAAGCTTGGATACTTTTGTACAAAGTGATCTGTGCCGCTACAGACAGTTCCTCAGACTGTGAGAACTACACGTATTATTATTATTATTATTATTATTATTGTCGGTCTACGATTTAAGATGATCTGTTTTATGACTAAATATAGAGAATGTAATGTGGCAACCCAGACATAGCTGAGATTTACCTTAGCATCGTTAACTCATTCCAGCAGTGCGCTTCTACCTCTCATGGGTGAATTCATGACATCCGGAAAGATCGATCGTGGCACATGTAGTCCGAAAGGAAGGAAACGATAACGATACAAACCGAAAGCCGTATTATAATGGTAGTTCGTTTGTTGAGTGACTCACTATGTTGTGGTAATTGTAAGGTGGAAAGAAGTGGTTCAGGCTCCTCTGTAGTGCAGTTACGCTAATGCAGTCTTGTGTTAAGGGTGTTACAATTGCCACCACGTACTCTGTGTGTCTGACTTCATTATGGAAACAATAGGTGTTGCCTGTCTGGCGCTCTGCCTAGCGGTAACTGCGCTGTGCAACCCCCTCTTTGCTTCCTTGCGCTTTCGATTACCTCTTGTCTCATAGAGCTACCCCAAAATCATATCCTAGCGCACGTTTGATGAGTTCTGGAATGTGAAATTTTACATCTTTTCAACGTGATTGAACCCAACTGAAACTGCATCCCACCAATTTCATCGTAACCGTTTACTTTTGAACATGTTAATGAGGGTTCTGAGACAGCAGCGACGACAACGGTGCATCGGATCGGTGCTTCGCTGCCGTACAACCATAATGACCTAGGGAATGAAGAATTCTAAGAGAGGGATTGTGTATTCGTGTAAAACCTATACTCTCTAGATCTACTTTCAAGCTAAACGCGCCTATACCTTCCCAGCAGCATGTAGTCACCAACAGTTGGCTATCGTGCGAAGACAAGGCGGCATCAGCGAGACAGCATTTCTGCGACTGTCTTGTGTTATGACCGACCACTAGTCGGCCGATAACTCAGACCCAATTGAAGCACACACACACACACACACACACACACTCGGAGTCCAGTTCAGTTCAGTTCAGTCGAACAACTCTGATCCGGACACCGAAGTGCGGTAGATTTAATTGTCGCGACTCAGCTCCCCACATAAACCATAAATAATAATGGTGAGCAAATGAGATCGGACACAAATAGAGTGCGTAAGACGAATCGTGATGCAATGATTGTTAAAACTAGTTGCATGAAACAGAATACTGAAACGCCACTAATTGCCGACCGCGCCGTGTCCGATAGAGTTTCCAACCAAGGAGACGGTACCCATCAGTCTGATCAAATCCCTGAATCAATTTGTTCATCGCTCTATGCAACACCATCTACCGACCACCTTGCGTTTTCATCCATCTTGGTGCAGCGGCATTTTGACTGGAAGACCATAACAAACGTGTCACTGGCGCCGGCTGCGAGCCTTGTGCTTTAGACTCTCCATCCATCCGACACCAGTAATGCTTCGCAAGCAACGATGATGAAAGGATAGAAAGCGTATTTTCTTTTTTTCTACCTAACCAAACGCAGTCTCCGATCACCAATTGAGGTGTCGCTCACTTATCTCACTGGTCATTCATCCCTTCGATCATCCTATCTGCTCTGCCAATGAGGGATGGGTACCTGGTAGCCGACAAACCGGGCTGATGTTGGGGATCCGCCTGATTTTCTGGACCAGCACGTTAGTGTAGCAATTAGTAACACCACTGTCTTCCTATGGCTTCATTGTGTTATTGCTGGCTTACTTATGTTTTCCTATATGCAATTTGTCTTCTCACCAACTGGCCTCCATTTCTGCATCTTTTTCGCTCTCGTCACCTACGTTTGCCATGGAACATCACCTTTTTCGTGATGCTGGCGAAGCTTACGTTTTATCATACCTTATTCGCCGAAAGTCGGCCGGTGGCCAAGTGGTCTGCACGCCTGGGTTTCAACCTTAGGGTCACTGGTTCGAAACCGCGTAGAGGTCGGCACCCTAGCGGTGTGCTCAGCCTGCACGCGACTGGTGGTTGTCGCGCGGCAGCGAGGCCTCGTTACGGCGTACAGCTGACATAATAATATCTAATTCGCCGAATGTGTGTTGGTCCTTTTCCAACCTCTTTTTTAAAAAATTTTTTATCATTTTTTTTACAGAAATGGGAAGAGCGAAGCGAAGATGATCGTTTGCTGATCGAGAGGGTGTTGATTCTTATACGAAACGTGTTACACATTACTCCAGACTACTCGGAGGAGGGAGTACGTGTTCCCTTACGGCCATCTTTCACCTGTCCCTGTTAGACAACCGATGATAGCGTTTCCGTTCACGATCAACTGCTCTGGAACATTCATGTTTCTGGTTGGGATGAGCTACTGCTTTTCTTGGGCAATGCTGAAGACGAACAAATGTTTGCTTTCCACACTTTGGAAATCATCTCCTTGATGTTTCGTGAGCAGGTAAGTCAACATACCTGATTGTTATTTGAGTGGACGATTTTCCACCGGTGTTTTTTCGCTTCAAACCCTGTAAATAAATAAGCTATCTGTTGTAGCGCTGCCCTCGCCTTTTGCTCTCTGTACTGCCAACCCAGCCGGAGACAAGACAAAACACCGAAGCCTGCTAGACCGAAGTATATTAGGAACAGGACACGGTTACTTTCATAAGCCCCCTGCTATCATCTCTAACTGCACGTTCTGAGATGACTCACGCCAGATAGATTCCATACCTGTTAGCTGTCCGCACTGATCAACTGTAATCTCGCTTACTCACACCTGTACCTCATGACTTAGCCGTACTACCGCCGACCGGGTAGCAACCTGTGTCATGCTGACGGATTGATTTCACCGGCTTCCGGTTTGACCATGGCAACGAGTCTGTCAGCCGATCACGTGGACTGGCTAATCTCGCCGTGCTGGGGTGCACCATCGTAGTCAACCGTTTCGCCTCCGTAAAACCTCCTCCGAAGTGAAACTGCTTCCCCACCATCCATGCTTGCTACTCTTGAGATTCCTTTGTCTTGACCTCAAACGGTTACCTTGGTAGTTTCCTTCTCCTTCTGTTCGGTCTTCTATGTGCGTTGTTTCGGCCCCTTGAGGCTTGTTGTGGTAGATGGTTCGGCCATTTCCGCAGATCACCCTTGCTGTCGACCACCTCGTCGGTCCTCTGAAGTCTCACGCATACTCAATATCCCCAATTTTGAAACGACGGACCCTGTCTGTCCGATTTTTCCCCGCATGACAACTGCAGTGTTTTTATTTCCTGCTTGGCACAAGGCGCTTTGCTCCGGATACTGGTTTACTGACTGGCTTGAGATTCAGGGCAGCACTGGTCATTCTGCAGCATTTTGAATCAGGTTAGAGCATTGCTTCGTGGCGTCTTTTCATCTGCCTAATCTGACTGTCATTGATTTCCACCGTCGCATACTTACATTTGATGGACACATCAATTTTGGAAGTAACCTTGGGTTCCGAATACGCAACCACATTTATACTAGGTTCCAAGCTGAGCAGCCCATGGCATTCTGTTGCAATTTCCTGTGATTCCAGCTTCGGTTTCGGTTCCCATTCTACTTGAATCTTTGGAATAACAGTTCGGTCAGCTGCTTGTGTGACTTTTCGAACTGTGTCTACTGCTGGTGCAAAAGTGCCCGCAATTCTTCGAAGCTGATTGCCATTTCTAGGTTCAATTAGAACTGCCGTCGCCATTGTCCCCGGCCGGGTTTGCGTGATAGACGGCAGAGATGAGGGCAGCGTTACAACACTATCCGTTTTTACCTGTTTCTACGGATTGCTTCCTAGAGTTATGTCTACGTCGAAGTGGCAATTCGCTGTCTAACCACCTGAGAGTATTTAGACTTCACGACTCTTTAGCTCTTAGCGAGACAATCATTTCAGTGCTTTTGGTGTGCATAGTTGGACACCAAATAGTGAGGACAAATTAATTTCATTCGATCCACGGCTATGCCCAATTTGCGGTGATGTGGGCAAGTGATACCTTGTTGTACGTCTTTGTTTAGTTTCCACAGTCCGGGGTGGTTCTCACATTGCAAGCCATGTGTTGCAACCTGCACAGCGGGCTTGTTTACTGCCTGGATGTGTATAGAGCGAATTTATCTGTGGGGTGCAATTGATTGCGACACGGTTTAGTGAAAGCTCCATAGAAGCTTTCTCGCTTCTGTTACCTACACTCTCTCGTCAGTTATTTTCGACCACGTGGTGTAGGCACGTGACCGTAGACACATTCATCCTAAGTACATGACACTCGGGTTTTGTGCCAGGTCCTCTTTTACTAGTTTTATTATCCAATAATAGGCACCAGCACTTTGCGCCCATGCTTCACTGCCATGTACCTGCAAACGGCCGCCCAGCCGGTGTCCAAGTGTCTCATGCATCTGAATTGTCATTCCCTTAGGTCGGTGGTTTCAGCTTGCTTAGTTACCCGCGACCTTGTTATTTGCAACAAAGGTTGTCAGATTACCCACATGGCAAGTTCGATTACGGCACCCCTACCGTTTCGGAATTCCTCTACTGAAATACCTACTACCCAGAATAGACACTGGGAAACTGCTTTCATTAATTACCTTTATCTACTTTTGCCTCTTGGTGGCAACAACATGCTAGAGAATTCAACAAGAATCAAGCTACTACGCGATATTTCGATAGTTTTCAAGTACATACAAAAAGAGACCTACGATCTGTGCTCTATTCCCTGGACCAACTTTGCGGGGAAAAGCCACATGTGTGCACAGCACGTTACAAATTCAATACCATGCGACAACAATCAAATGAAAGTGTAAATGAGTTTCTCTCTCGATTTCATACTGCTCTTCCCGATTGTGCCTGTGATCATATTCTACCGAACCAGTTCGGAGAAACGATACTGTTACAAGCGTTGCTTGTGGGTGTTCTCGATGAGAAGGCACTAAAGCGGCTGCTATCCGAAGACGAAACACTCATGACTCGGGAAAATACCTGTGATATTGTCCGACAGCGTGCAAGTCTTGTTCAGGAACTAGCTGCGGTTTCTTCCTACAATCAGTTGATTTCACAGGATGTAAACGAAGTCTCCCAGACTAACTGTGATCAAACCGCAACTCAACTTGTGCAGCGTAGCGAATTTCCTTGTTGTTATCGCTGCGGTGAACGTCATTCGTCTCCAACTGACTGTCATCACCTTTAGTTAGCGTACAGATTTTGTGGTAAAAAAGATCATATTCGGAAAGTATGTCTTTCCAAGCAGAAATCATTTGCACCTGAACAGCATAAATCTACAAACTGCATCACCGAAAACTTACACCAGAACTATATCAACACCACAACTGTTTTTAATTGCAGCATAACGGCGGAAAAGCCATTTGTCATGTTTGTTGTCAAGGTAAACGGGAAATCTATGGATTTTGCAATTGCTACCGGTTCCTCCGTTACCCTGATACGACCGGATATCTTAGCACAACTCCCAAAATCAGGTCCACCAAATATGCGATTGCGATGATACACGGGACAGATGGTGAAGATGATGGGTACCTTTATTGCACGCATATCCTGCCATAATTCAACGAATCATATATATGTGTGTGTACCTTCTTGCAGGACCTGACCCAAACATACTTGGTCGTGAGGGAATTAGACGTCTTCCTAGCATCTTGTCGAATGTCAGCTTGGTGGGAACCTATGCACAGTTATCTGATACCTTACAGAAACATGCGGTTTTGTTCGATGAGTCTAGACAACGTCATTTGAAAAATCACGTTGCTCATGTAGTCTTGAAACCACAGGCGATACCGAGTATGATGGTAGTATCAGCTCAGAGTGAGCAGATGGATCAACCAATCGAGCGAGCCAGGCAGCCAATGGGAGGTGGACTTGCGGATTCGATTACTGGACTCGGATTGGACGATATTCGTGTGAGTGATTCACTGTTTGTTTAACTGAAGCAAAGGAGGAATCTCATCGACCCAGTAAGGTCGTTAGTTATGGACTTGAACCTGCAATTTATTTCGAGGCGTTTGGCTTACTAAACATGCTGTAATTTTCGCTTCGCGGTTTTTGCCAAATAAACGCTTGTCCCTGAAGGACTGAGTTCCGCAACATGGTATCAGAGAAGACAGAGACGAGCACCACCGGCGGCGCGCGGATGCTGTTTGGATCACCACCGTCCATTTAGATTCCTGTCCCACTGAACATGGACGGACGGAAGTTGGCGAGTAATTGGCATCTATGGAAGAGCAAGTGGGGGAGGATTTCTGCACCTTAATACCTTTGGACGAACAGCCGATGGCTTATCGCGTGGCCATGTTTCGACACGTAACCGGCGATGACGCGCGCCGTGTTCTAAAGACATTGCACTACGACAAACGCGAAGATCCCAATAATTTGAAGACGGTCATTGGAAAACTCAGCGAATTTTGTGAAGGTCAAACCAACGAGACCTTCCAGCGCTGTCTTTTCTTTTCGCGCAACAGGAGCCCAAACGAATCAGTCGACATGTACATCACTAAATTGAAGATTTGGACCCGATCCTGTAATTTCTGTAATTGTTTGGGCGACAATCTCATACGCCATCGGATAACTAGGAATCAATGCTGAAAGTACGAGAAAGCGGCTTTTGCGACAACGCAACTTATCGTTCCAGCAGTCCATTGATATCCGAAACACTGAGTCCTTGACCACCTATCAATACCAACAAATGAAGCTCGCAACGGATGCAGAATTGTGTGCCGTTTCTGGAGGCGAATCAGCGAAGGCTAATACCATGTGACAGGAGATCTGCACATTTTGCTCCACGCCACATCCGAGCACCCGCGAACAGTGTTCGGCGTGGGGACGGAAACGCGCCAGACGTGGAAGAAGGAACCACTTTGCTCCTTGATGCTAATCAACCAATGTGAGTGCGATCGTTCGTGACAAGTCACCCTGCAGATGCCGAACATTCAATTAACAATGTGTCTTAGAGGGTACCGCAAAAATGTGTCTATGCAAGCCTTTTGATCAAAGGCAAAGTTGTACAATTCCAGTTAGACACAGGTGCTACTGTCAACATCCTACCATGGAAGCACTGTCCCGGAGTGTGCATTTGATCCGATCAACATTGCGTGCGTATGTTGCATGGTTCCAGACTTCTTCCGAAGGACCCAGCTACAATCGAAGTGGTTAACCCAAAAGACGAAGCCTCACATCGACTGGAGTTTGTGATCGTGGAGGAGGAGCTCACGCCGATTCTCGGCATTGATTCGATCCAGTCTCTCGGTTTTTTGTTGCTAATCATGGTCGTTTCGTGAATGTTGGTCATTGAGAATCCGATATTAGTGACCAGTATCTTTCTTTGTTCAGCCCAGGTTTGGGAAAGTCTGAGGGAACCGCTCACTTGTCTTTAGATCCTTTGTTACGACTGACAGCGCTACCTTTTAGGAGAGTTCCATTTGCACTGCGTGACAGGTTCTCCGTTGAATTGAGCTAAT